TGTTCTTTCATCCTTTTATAGGTGCAAAACTACATCTGTTCTACAAGTGCCTTCACAATCAACATGCTCAAAAGTTGAAGAAACCACTCCCATTATATCAAAACTCATAATGAAAGATTTGAGCACCTACCTAAATTCAGACCACTGTCATGTGCATCTTTAACACATTACAGAAGCGTTAGATAGCTGAGATGGTGTGTCCAAGATTGCATATTTATTTTGGTTAAGGAAAAAAAAGAAAAGAAAGATAAACATGTGACCTTGGAAGCATCCATCTTAGCCATAATGCATAAGTCAAAGACGGAAGCATTGCATTTTATTCAAGAGGTGTGATGCTTACATATTGTAGTATTATTTGGATGGCCCTTGGATTATCAGCATCATGTCAAGTATAACCGTTTGTTAAATGTTATTTAAATTAAATAAATTAGGAATCGTAACTCACTTATGAATATTGATGGTTATCCTAACTCACTCATTTTCCTTAATGTTTAATTATGTTCAATTTAGTTCCTTGAAGCTTTACATTGCTAGATGAGCTTGATAAAGGAGAGAAGGGAAATCGGACATATTTGCTTCTTAGAATATGATTTAAAACTAGATGCTTTTATAGAAATCTTAAAGAAATTTTAATCTACATAATTTCCTCTTCTGTAACAAATTAATTCTTAGTTACCTCATTTTACCTTTTAACAGGATATAAATACTACTAAGACTAGGATAAGACAAGGAGGAATTCCAGCTCAACAGACACAAACGATGTTGTCCCCACTAACCATGTCTACCACTAATGTAAAACCCGGAAATAATATCAAAAGTACTAAAATACCCCTTGGCCATAAACCAGTAAAGTTGGGGCTTATCAATACTAGCGGCTCAAACTTTTACCTTGTCCTCAAGGTGAATGAAAACGATGCACAACATCCAAAGCTTCCAAAAGATCTCTTTATCTTGGTCTCAGCCTTGCCACAATCTGAAGTCACCACAACAATCACCACATATATACAACCTTCGTGCTCCTTTGTATTTGATGTGAGATAATTCTTTACCACAGAGGACAGGACACACACAGAGGACACATGCTCCATATAATATGCTACCACCATCATAGGATTAGTAACATCAACAATGGTACCCACAACCTTCACATTCTCATCCATAATCACCCACGGGGACCAATACTTAGAACCAGGCACCTCCCGTAGTAGTTTCTTCACTACCCTAACAACGCACTTAAATTTAGGCAGGACATCACCAAGTTTCTTCCTTTGATCTGCAATCTCAACTTTGTCATCAGGAAGGGCTTTAGAAGCATGACACGTGGTGGATTCCGCTGCTGCTAAGAGTTTGAGTTCCATGTTAAGATGAAGCATGTCCTTATCTATAGTAGCACCAAGAAAGAGAACCTTCCCATTATAGAGGGGGTATGGTGTGGTATCGTTCTTCCCAGCAATTATGATGTTCCCAAAGTCGCCAAACTTCAAAAAATTATTGGCATCAGCTACCAACAATCTAGTGACAGTGGAGTTAAAATCAACCCCGTAAAATCCATACTCATCAGCACTCTTTGCATCATTCATAAGGTCAACAACTTCGGTTATCAAATCACCCTCAACTCTAAGACTCACTTTTTCTGTAAATCCATTTAAAATAAGAGTCTGGAACAATTTTGTGAGTACAAGTTTCCAAGCATTACTATCACGCTTCCATGGTGCCACTCTCTTAACTGACACCTCGATTGTCTTTGGATTAATCATGTGAAAATAAGTTCGTTGAGCTGGTACTTCAGTAGAGTAAATGCCATGATGTTGAAGCAAATAAATAAACAGAACCCCCAAAAAAGAGAATTTGAACAGAGTACGTGAATGATTCCCATACTCTTGTACAATTCTAGGGGTAGGCACAGTTAGATCCAGCCAATCAACAGTTTTAATATCAACAGTCATTCTGTGGGCTTGAGTTATGCCTTTGATTTCAAAATTATCTGCCACTTTATTAGCTTGGTGTGATGGAGTATTGAAACCCTACATATTCTGAGTTAGGTGTTGCTGGACTTGTTCAACTTCAAGTAGTCTAGACAGTGCACCACAGTCACCATGTTCAACCAAACTAAAGCCTTCATTGGGGATGCCATTTTGAGAAACTGATGAGGGAGTATTATAGTTTCCAATGGCAGGAGCATCTGTTGTTGGTGCTAGGACTGAATCACACATCATGTGAATTGTATGATCTTCCTACAGACCGTAACCATCTAAAGTTTGATCATCCTTTAGGATTTTGCCTCTATAAATTAACCTTAGCCTGTGTTGGTTGGCTTTGGTAGGACCATAGCAGTTTTGGGGCAAGAGAGCTTTGAAATCTCCAGTGGTTGATCTGAGGCGATCTCAGCATCACTGTCGGCAGCGGTGGAGTTGCTTGTTTGAGTTGTCGCTAGGGGTGTTCAAAAATATACGTATCCAAAATTCCGCTTTGAAATTCCGAAATTCCGAATCCGAATTATCTGAAAAATTGGATATCCAAATTTTTGGATATCCAATTTTTCGGAATCGGAATTGGATAATGTTTTTATGATTTTTCGGATAATTCGGATATCCGATATCTGAAAGTTTTGATTTTAGTTTATACATTATTTGTTATTTTAATCACATATGTCTTATTATATGAATGTTAGTAACTAAAACATATTCATAATACCCTTAATTAAATACCTATATTACTTCATATAACTTTCTAATTTAAAAATATATCTTTCTAATTTAAAAACTTCATATGCCTTTCCAATTTGAACAAAATTTCAAATTTTCGGATATCCGATTTTGGTATCCGAAACCGTATCCGAAATTTCGGATATTTATTTTTCGGATATCCGAAATTTCGGATACGGAATCGGATACCAAAAATCAACTATCCGAAATTTTGGATATCCGATTATGAACACCCATAGTTGTCGGTGACGAAGTAGGCGTGTGAATTGGTAACAACATCGCCGACTATAGGGCCTCATTTGTTACCGTTGATTTAGAAACACATGAGCTTGATTTACATTTGTCATTCAAAGTTGAGGGTGTTATATGATCTACGTTGTTTGAGCCCAATATTCTAATTTCGGCCCACATACACCTTTTATGGCCGTATTTGCATTGACCTAACTTTAATAGAGTCGTTACCTTCCAGTGATGTCATAGGTATTCTGATCGCATCCTGTCTTGAGAAAGCTCACATCGCAACAACTGGTTCTTTCCCACCTGGTCTAGCATTGAATCCATCGTTCCTTTCCCCTTTGATTTAATTCTTGACAGTGGTGGTGGTGGCGTCGGCGACGACGATTTGTAGCTATCGAACAAGTGCACTTTCATCCTTTTATCATACCGATTTATGCCTCTTGTATTCAAAATCGCTTCCCTGTTGCTGTTCTTGGACCCTAGAGATGGTGGAAATAGTGATGGTGAAGGTGGTGGAGACGGTAGCGACGTCAACAATGTCGGGGGAGAGCATGGGTGAGTTTGCGACGGTGAAGGTGGCAGTTGTGGAACCGACAACAGAGATGATGGAAGTTGAGGTTCCATCATAGGTTCCGATTCCAACTCAGAAACTTCCAAGGACTCTTCTTCCTCCTCATGGATTACTTCATCCTTCTCCTTCAAGGTTGAGTAATAAATTTGTATCCACTTAGCCTTTTCAGTCTCCACTCCTTTCCTCTGAGTAATAATTCTTTTTTCATTTTTGCTATCTCAGCTTCTGTCTCTTCATTTCTCTTTATCTGGTTCTGATGATGTATCCCCATTATCTTCACCATCTCTAGCATCTCTATTTGGATGATCCTCATCTCTTCCCGTGCCTTTGTTTGTTGTTGGATCCACATAGATTGTTGTTGTTGTTCATCTTGCACCTTTCCCACAGCTTCATCCCAGTTGCCTATCCTATTTGCTATCATTTCTTCCCCAACATTAACTGCTCTGATACCAATTGATATAACCTTGTTGAATCTATCGTATATCTCAGACAATCTAACACCCACACTAAGAGAAACGCTTGATAATATTCATAAAGATAGTTTTCTCACAATTCTAGAGGTGAGAGTCTCTCCAAAAGAAGAACAATGTTCTCTTACAAATTAATTATTAGCTACCTCATTCTACCTTCTAATAGGATATAAATACTACTAAGACTAGGATAAGACAATGAGGAATTCTAGTTCCACTGACACAAACGATGTTGTTCCCACTAACCATGCCTACCACTAACATAAAAGCCTGCAATAATGTCAAAAGTACTAAAATACCCCTTGGCCATAAACCAGTAAACTTGGGGCTTATCAATAGTGTCTCATGATAAAGTTTCCAACGGAAAGCATGACATTAGAATTTTAACAACAGTTTTATTTATTTTCATTCACCTTCTAATGAAAACCCAATGCAGTTAAAGAATTTTTGCATCGTTTTATTTTTTTAAAAAACCATTCATCATGATAATGACATCATTAATGTGAAAATGTGTTGGATTAAGGTGTCTAAGGTCCTAACTAAATTGGTATAATGTTGATGAATGAAAGTAAAGTCCTTTTTTGGGTTGCCCTCATAACCAAGAAATTGATTAAATTGATTTTAGCACTACTAGAAAAACAGCCTTTTACGACGCGCAAATGCGTGTCAAGGAAGGCCCTGTCATAACGAGAGACGACACGCTTTTGCGCGTCATCTATAGACGACGCGCATTTACGACGCGCAATGCGTATCAAGGAAGGCCCTGTTATAAAGGAAGACGACACACATTTGCGTGTCGTAACCTTACGACGCACGTTTAGGACACGCATTACGTATCATTAAAGCATCTGTCATAAATGAAGATGACACACATTTACGTGTCATAAACTTCAACAACCATTTACTATATACATTTACGATATACATTTACGACGCGTCTTTACGATACTCATTTACGCATAATACAAAAATATGGAAACAAATATATACCAAAACAATCAATTTCATCCATAACATCATGTCAAAAAATTGTAATACATTGTATTAAGGGGATCCGATTGTACATTGTTATTAAGAGGTTTTTCCTAACTATATAAACCTAATACTACATTGCTATTAAGGAACACCTTGTTTCTACTTCTTATTGTTATGCTTCTGTTTCCACATGATACCTGTTTCCAAGACAAGTAAACTTGCTCTTATTGGGGCTGAGAGAATTTAGATATAACAACAATAATATATTTAAAGGAATAAAAAAAGTAGGAATGTAAGGGAAACATGAAGGGGAATAAGATAGCCTAACCTCACCATAATCAACAAATAGTTTGTTTGCTCACTAGTATGCTTCAATCATAACCAATTATCTTCTTTCATTTTCTCAACAGCAGCAAAATAGTCATTTCCATTAACTCAGCAACTTCCTTCTCATCATATTTTGCAACCCAAAATGTTCATACTGAACCACAAGGTGACAAACTCTTAATGAAATTGAACAAAAAAATATTGATTATGAATACTTCACATTCTCTCACTGTATTGTAAAATTCAACCAAAAATAAAGAACAAAAAAAATCATCTATACTAAATTGATTACTACATCAAAGCGAGCATTCTTATCCAACCATCAGGGCCAAATATGTAGTATATACCCCAAAAAAATGTGCAAATATCAAAACTTCACTCATACATACACAAGTCGGATCTGAACACACACAACAATATCTAATAATAAACACCAAATATATGTACATATTGATGCATATCCTACTCTAAATATACTAACAAATCAAAAGGAGATACATGCTAAAAATTTGTGTGGAATAGAGGTAACCTTAATAGATTATTCTTAATAGATATTGTTGATAGATATTGTTAAGAAAAATATTAACAAAAAAAAAAAACTCACCTAGAATCAGATAGTAGAGAAGTTGACCTACACACATGGATGCACCAATTAAGCTTGTGTGAAGTATTAAGAACTTTAGATAACATCTGAACAACCCCTTCACTCAACAGTATTGGCTGTAAAAAAAAGCATAAATCATTAAAAATTAGCAGATATTAACTTTTAAGCAACAACTGAATAAATAAAAGAATACCTTGGCACGTGGCTATTCAAGTAAGCTAGCAAGAAAATCAAGCAATCTTTGAAAATCAGTTAAGACAGATGGATCTAAAAGCCACTCTTCTATATAAAGTATCATAGGAGTATCGCTGCTCTGTCAGCATGTACACATGCCACGCGTACAATAAAAATCCTCAACATGTCTTGTATTACAACCATCAGGGCCAACATGCTTTCATCTCATACGGCTCCCATGTGATAAAAGAAAGATTTCTTCATCTCATATTTATATTTATCTGGGCTTTTGTAAAAAAAATACCAATTCAAGTGGGTGGCCCAAAAGACTCATTATCAAATTCAAATGGGTGTGGTGTGGATAACAGGTCAAAATGGTAAATTTTTCTACACATTTTTGTTTTATATTAGTGTTAAATATGATTCAACAACAACAATACCCAGATCCCATATATAGGAATGGGGTAAGATGTAGACAATCGGACCACCGAAAGAACAGTGGCTTTATTAGATCATATATTATTTTTGGAACCACACTAGAGAAAAGTTCTCGTTTTTGTGTCCAGAATAAGTATCATTAATTTGAGGTGTTCAAGATGGGATTGGTGACACATTCTCAACTCTGCAACAACAAATAGATAGAAGACGTTTTTATAGAGGTGCACATGTGCAGTTTAATCATATGCAAAATAAATGGCATACGACAATAACACGGAAGATAATAATTACCTTTGATGAGCCGCAAGACATCTTATACTCCAAACCATTCACCACATGTACGCCTTCCATGGCAGCTGATATAGCAGAAGATTCATCCATGCCTGAGAATTGGCGTATATTTCTACATGTAATTAGGAAACAAATTAAATATGAACATAAATATATACTCATTTACTCAATGTCATAAGAAGTATTAATATTTATTAGTTATTACCTCTGCAACATAATACCATAATCCTTTTTGCCAGGCACAACAGAAAGAAAATCATTGTGAAGATAAGCTGAAAAATTAGGATCCACAGAAACCGCAACCACTTCAGTCTTTTCATTCCCAACATCCATCAGCTGAATGGTTAAACAAGATGGGCCAGATGACTGCAAAAACATAAGGAAAAAAAATAAACTATAGTTCTTACAGGATACAGAGACTGCTACATATGATTATATAGTAATAATCTATTTTTTTAATAAAGCATTTAGGAGCTTCTATGCTTTAAAAATAACTCCACGGAACTTTCAACCTTTTGACGTGTTTCACTTCTGCTGATTTTACCAAATTTACCCCTATAGAGATAAAACTTGGCCCAAATCTGCTCATTTATAACTTATAAGGAAATTGCCACCTCTAATCATACTTATTTGAGGATATAAACAAATGGTGTCTATAGTTTTATAACAACTGAAATCTGATTCTGGTTATTCTGTATCACATGACATAATCTGATTCTGGTTATTCTGCATCACATGACATAATCAGTTTTAAACCCTTTATATACGGGGAATAAATAATAACAAAATTCACTTTTAATATTGTAACTCGAATGAATACCATATTTCATACAACATAGACTAAAACATATAGAGGATCCAGGGACTAATAGTTTTCAACCATTTTCGAATAATTATTTCAGAAACCAAAATAAATAAATAATTAAAAGACAAGGAAAGGAAAGGATGCTGGTAGAAAATAAAATAACCTTGGGTGAAGACTCTTGATCTCTTCCAAATTTTGATGCACCTTTGACATTACAAGGCGTACATACCTGAAAAAAAGAATATTATATTTTGTGTTTTGTTATCATTAAAGAACACAACATTTACATTAAAATCATACCAAATCTCAGACTCTTTCCGCTCTCGAGGGGTAATCTGATAAATCACAATAAGATGAGATGGATGATTTAGGTCATAATTATTATAACTCTAAGGTTAAATGTAAAAAAAATAACAATGTAATGTACTTCTTTGATTTGTTTAGTAATTAGTATGATTGGATCAGAGCACCTAATATCCTGCATTTACAAACCATAGGGATAGGATTCAATACAATTATATCATCTCATCTGTGGCATTATCTGTAATATGATTGGATCACTAGCTGCATTTATGTTTATTGTTATTGCTATTGTTACTCTACCTTCACTGTTTTTTTGTTTTTGTTAATGTTATTATTCTTGTTACCTAAGTGTTAATGTTATTGTTTGACTGCTTTCTGCAACCATAGTTATCAGATTTGTGAGAAAAAATAAAGATAAATAAGCTTACCTACCATTAAGCCAGGATAAGAGTTTAGGGCATCAATGGAAGATGTCTCCTGGATTTTATTACCTCCTGGACACACACCATAAATTTTCAATAACTTGGAATTGTTCAAGTAAGATAATATAATCCCAAAAAAAATGCAATTAATTACCAATAAGTAGGCAATGCAAATTTTGGAAAGGCTTATCAGGTTCATCTGTAGCTGAGGGGTACCAAATGCGCTCTATGTTATTCTTATTCAATTGAAGTTGCTCCAAAATGAATACAATTTCAAGTAAAGGATAAAGCTTTCACAAACTATTATAATATTAACCTTGAGTAAGTCATCGCTGAGGGTTAAAAGCGAATCCAGAGTGCCAGCATGAAGATTTGCAACAACACATGAGATGAAATTACCTTTGCACCCTCAACAAATGGAAGATGGAGGGTAGCAGATTCTAGAGAGCCAATAATCCCAGAAAATGAAACAGAATGATCTCTCTCGTCTTGTTCCCATACTTTCAAATATGGTATCTGCATTTGTCAAATCAATGTTATCACCCAACAATTTACAATACAATAAATAAATATAAAAATTGAGATAAATTATGTTCTTTCCTGATTCTTAAGGACAGAGTGCAGCTTTAAGTTATGCCTCAGCTGTTGAATCTCAATTTGTTTGGCGTTGACAGACTGTCGCATTTTTGATGTAGTCACCCATGCATTATATAGACTTTTCTGCAACAGTTTGTTACATTAGAATATTAGATAACAATGAAAAAAAAAGGTAGAGAATGTGTAGTGTCATTAAAAAACTATGAACAAAAAGTCCTCAAAAACAAGGCGAGAGAGATTTATCTACACTTATAGAACAGAGCTTGTGCAGTGTAACTTTATCCTCAAAAACACAGGTGCAGTGTACTAAATCATTGATTTGACATTTAGAACGTATCAGAACCAGTAGTGATACCAACTTCAAGCTTCAAACTACAATTATATCATGGGTATAAATAATCGAATACTATTTTTTTTTATCATAAACAGTAGAGAGTAGTCTGAATCGGAACCTTTTAGACAACTAGGAGAGCCCTTAACAATCAGAAGGTTACAAATTCATAAAAATTCAATCAAAATACTAATTCTCGTATGATATAAGTATCAGATCAACTTCTTATTGAAGGTCCATGAAAATATAAACGGAAACATAATGTTTTACTTACCCAAAGAAATAGCTTCCTAAACATGTTTGATTACTTTTACATTTTCCATAGAAATTGCTAGTAATGTCTTGCCAGTACCAGGAGGTCCATACAGAAGAACACTCTAAACAGATTAAAGGGTATATGAGTAATTTTACATGATCATGACAATAAAATTATAAAAAAAATGTACCTTGGGTGCTTGATTCCAACCCTTATGAAGAGTTCAGGGTTCATTAAAGGCAACTCTATGGATTCCCTAAGTTCACGAATTTGTGTTTTCAGGTCATCAAAGATACAAAAGATGGCATCATTATTGCGACACATAAAGATTAAAGATCCACTGTGCATTTTAGGGGAAGACACAAAGTGTAATATGAACACCTAAAAAATCAATTTTTTGTACATTTCTGAAACAGTTAAACTAAACCCACAACAATGTTCTATCAAGGTTATAAAAAAGGAACAAAGAAATGAAAAAACTTGTAAGAGCTCCAGACAATGAGTATGTATGATCATGATTGGATTTCAACATCACCTTCACATAATTTCCATGATCCATCTTCTTGCTTCTTCAGCAAATAACGGATCGCGTAGGTACTGAAATTAGTCATAATTAATGTTATCAATATAGTTTGTAATGATTGTTAAAGGGAAAATTCGTAAAAATGCAAAATATTTACCTATAATAATTTGGGTTCTTTTAATGAGATGAGCCCACAAGTTCAGCTGCTTCATCAACAAGAGCCTCTATTTCTGCCATTTCCTTACCTGTTTCATCTGACAAAATGTCTGCTTGAAGAATAGTCAACTCCAGCAAAATAAATCTCCAAAAGCAACACCTGTCTTTTGCTATCTCAGCTAAACCCTTCCACTGTGTTCATATTAATGGAAAGTTGTAAATATCAGAGACCTTGAAAAAGTCGAAGATTTATTATACGTTTTGAACAAATATTTAAAAGGTTCATACTTGATAACATGATTGACTCGATGAACCCTCTAAACATGAGTAAATGACTATTTTACCCTTTTGTTACCATTAAGTTAAAAAGAAACAACCCTAAGCAAAACATTACTTACCTGAAGAAGCATTGACTCATCAAGAACATCAACAAGATTATGAAGTTGATGATTAGGCCCAAGAGCTTCAGCTTTAACAGTTTGCCGTTGTTTAACAAGACTTTCAGCTTCTTCCAAACACATTGATCTCTTCTTACATGAATTTAAACTTGCACCCATGATAGAATCTTTTACACCTCCACCTTCAATTTCACCCTTGACTTTTTCCTTTTGCGTTGACCACAATGACATCACCATTTTAGCAATAAGATTACCCTTATCACAAGCAGATCCCTAAAGACCATGAGAAGACTTTGTAAGTGATCCTGTGTTGGGCCCGCTGAGGTCCCAACTAGATACCCTCCTGGGCCCACGAAACCACACACCCACGGTTGCAAATAATAAGAAAAACATTGATGTTGCAAAGCTCATATACCAAATTGTGTTATTTGGATCCAACCAAATTTCCCAAACTTTATCATAGTGTACTCCTAAATTTCTCTTTAATTGAGCAGATGGATAGCTTTCGCGTTTCAAATTGTTTGCTATTAGTGGGCTTTATAGATTTGATGGAGTCAAATGCTTTACAGTTGACCCAACACGTGGTGAAGATGAATGATCTTCAATAGTTCTCCAATCAGATGAAAAAGTAGAAGAAAGTGGTCTCTAGTTTAAACTTGGTGATGTTTGTGGTGCTCTTTTTCTATTCTTGTTTTCAGAAACCTTCTTTACACCAACAAAAAAGTTATCCTTAAAAACATTGGTCAAACTATCAATTAATTAAAGAATTAAAAGATATAGAAAAAAATTCCAAAAATCTACTAACTTCACGTGGAAGGGCCCGCATAATGGTCAGAGTAGACATGTCAAGAACCACACGAGTTCCAGCAGTGAGTTTTTCTTTGTCCACTTTACTCCTGCATCCAACCCCATACCTTGGGCCACTACTTGCTTTAACAATCACTGTGATAAAAGAAACATAAAACCTCAGAAAGTAACAGCATGATAGATGTAAATTAGCATAATACAAAAAGTTCAAACCCTGGATAAGATAAACACACAAAAAATTCATCGGAACATAACATATTCTCGAATTTATGCTCAAAATGTTAAATGTGAGTATGTGTGTGAGGTGCTATGTGCGACTATAAACAAAGTATAAGAATGGGATCGAGAAGCAGAAAAGTAGGGGGAAGGATGTCGCACCTAAGAAATCAAATAAGAAGAATGAAAATAAGGGAGAAGGAACAAAGCATACCTGAGATGCTTAGAGAGTAGAAGTGGGGATCGTGGAATGAGGAGGAAATCGCGATTGAAACCCGCATAGTTTTTCGGTTAGGGTTTTACACAGGAGAAGATGAGCAGATCCAAAATCGAAATCAAAGCTATGAATAGAGGAGAAATTAAAGAAATAGATGAACGAAAACATTAGGAAGAGAGAATAACCAAAGCATATCTTAGTCGGGCTAGGGTGTGGAAATTTAAGCAGTATCCGACGAGGTCACATGAGCCCGAGGTCGCCGGAGGAAAATACCCCTAAGGTCGTTGGAGGAGAAGTGAGCAAAGATGTTGCCCGGCGATGTGAGGCGAGATCATCGATTGATTATTGCAGAGGCCAGAGTGAACCAAGTGTTTTTCGTTCTTGAAAAAAAAAGCCCTAGTCCCTGCGATTTTGTGGAATTTAGTAGTACTGATACTTTGGTCGAGGCGCGTTTGAAATAATTATAAAGCGACATCTCTACACGACACTCGTTTAACACAAGTGCCCTCCGTGTTTTTTTTGTTGGACACTAATTTAACGGCACGCAATAATGCGTGTCCTCTATTCTTAAATTTTTTGAAGAGATGACAATTTTTTAATGTCACTCTCTTTTGCGTAACATAAATCAATGAGTGTCGTGGTTTACGCGTTGTAAAAGGGTCTTTTTCTTGTAGTGTAGGAGAGAGATAAATGTTTATTAATATATTATATTGACTAATATATTAATCAGAAACAGTTATAATTAATTTAGAATTAATTAGAGTTAATTTGGAATTAATTATGGATTAATTAATTAGAATTAGTTAAAAGTTGAAGGACTATAGCTGTAATTGTTTAAAAGTTGAGCATAGGACGGGTTCTAAAACCTCCTATGTTGGATGGCTTGGAGGCTTCTTTTAAGGTGTTTCCGAATCAGCTATAAATAGAGTCTTATAACTTGGATTTTTCGGTCATGCTATTCCTCATAGCAAATCCGAAAATTTGCCTCATCACCCCTCTCTCCTAATTCTTCTAGGGTTCTTGTGTTGTGGGTGTGAACCATTAGAATGTCTAATCTGCGTTTTTTCTTTCGCCGCCACGACTTGGAGATTTATCTGCCACGCCGTGGGGACCTCCTATTTAGTGAAATTTTGTGGATAAATGAGATTTTGATTAGGATAATTACATTTATAGATATTGTTTTAATTAGATAAAATCCGAATATTTAAATTGGTAATTCGACCTCCTAATATCTCGAATCTTTGAATTATCCTCATGATTTAATTAAATTTAATTATTTGATTAATTAAAAGAAAAGGATTAATTTTGAAATCATCAAATAATTTTTGAACATTATTTTAAATGTTTAAAATACACAATTATATAGATATATATATATATATATATATATATATATATATATATATATATATATATATATATATAGATGATCATTTGAGAACCTATATATTTATGAGAACCCGAGAACCATACGAGGACCTTTAGATCAAAATAATAAACGGTTAACATGTTTTGTGGTATTTTTGTAAATACTGGGAAAAGAAAAGACCCGGGGCATGAAATTGAAAATGAATCAGGGGCAACTTAGAGATAAAATAATTACTTTTGATTTCCTTGATTACATCCCTCATTTACTTTTCTCTCTCTCTCTCTCTCTCTCTCTCTCGTCTTTCCTGTCGTCCTCTTCATCTTATCTCTATAATCATCAACTACTACCAATCAACTGTTAGTAATCTCCAAAATCATCAAAGACAATTTCACGATCTAAGAGATCGATCCCGTTCGTGATCATCTTCAATTTTAGCAATGATCGTCGGAGACCTAAAATGTTCGATTGGGGATCGACGTAGTATTCACGTCTTATTAAAAATCGATCTCCATTGAAGATCGAACTCAAACATATATGATAAAGATCGACGGAAATTGTCCTAAATATACGTACTGTACGTATCGTCTTCCTCGCGTCCAACCGCCTCCATCTCCTCCGATCAACGCCATTCCCCCTCTACATTCAAACCAGAGGATGATTACAGGTTCACCGTCTTCCAAACTAACCTCCGCCTCGCAGAGTGTCACCAGAAGCTTGATCCGTCGGCGGTCCATGGCGTCACTCGATTCTCCTACATGACTCCATCGGAATTCAGTAAGCATCTCGGACTTAGATCTCGATCTCGTCTTAGGTTTCCCACCGATGCCAACGAGGCTCCGATCCATGTGAAAGTTTATTTGATTTCAATACATATAAAATTGTGGTTGTAAAATGTTTTTTTATATTTTTATGATTTCAGATAAAGCCTCCTTCTTCTCCAGAAGGTCGATTCACACACATACTCTTAGTTGGAATTGAAGGCTCTGCTCATGGACCATAGTTTGTTGCTGAGGCTTTAGCGCCTGATAATCCTCCTCTCAAGGTAATATTTAATCCCTTCATCTCAGTTTTTTACGTACAAGATCTAAACTAGATAATGTTCTCACCAAAATCTTATTGCTTCTCAATTTGATCAACAGTTACCTTTATATATAGATAGATCAGTAGCATATATAGAGTAGTTTTTCAATTCAATGAAATATTGTAATTTCTCTCTCTAATTCAACATCTTTCTTATTCAAGGAATTTAAATTTCAAAGTTCAACGAGTAAAACAAAGTGGTATTTTTGAAAATAAAAGTATAATCAACATTAGAATATTCTTAAATCTTAACTCTTTCAAAACGGTTGTTTAAACACAATGCTAGATGACAAGCATTTTAACGTACATGTGACTGATGAATGAGGTTTCTTGTTTGAGATCTATATAACAAAGTAATCACGGGCACTTTAATTGTGATTTCAGCTGATGGATTACGAGTCGTCAAGTTCTTTGAGCTAGATTCTGATGGGAATTACAGAGCGCCATTTTTGAGAAGTGTAATCAAAGGACAAGGGCGTTGGGGTGTTTCTCATGCTTGTCCTCCAACAGAATCCAGACCTGGACATGTTGCAATCATAGCAGGTTTTTATGAGGATCCTAGTGTTGTCACAAAAGGTAAATTATCTGTTCGGATGATTTGAAGTTTCATGAAAGCATACATTTCAATGTTAGAAACATTTGACTTGATAATTTGTCATAATGTAATGTATGCAGGATGGAAGGCAAACCCTGTGGAATTCGATTCAGTTTTCAACAAGAGTAAGCATTTTCATCAGTTTCTTAATACAACTCATGGGCAGTTTTCTTTTTTACTTAATGGGCTTAATGAGTTCAACACTTAAATCTGGATAACTATGGTTGTTTCTTTTTTACTTATCTAAATTTATAAAAAGTTCAACGTTGGAATTACATGTAATTCACATATGAATTACATGTGATTCACATGTAAATCACATGTAATTCACATATAAATCACATGTAATTCACGTATGAATTACATGTGATTTACATGTGAATCACATGTAATTCATACGTGAATTACATGTGATTTACATGTGAATCACATGTAATTCACGTATGAATTACATGTGATTCACATGTAATTCACATATGAATTACATATGATTCGCATGTAAATTGCATGTAATTCACATATAAATTACATGTGATTCACATGTAATCACATATGTATTTTTGCATCAATAATTTTTTTTTTTTTTTTTTGTAGATTTGGAAGAAATTGTGGTGAATATTGAAGAGGTGAAAAATGATAAATTGAAGAAAATATGGAAATATTGATACGAATACATGAAAACGCTTTGAAATTTTGTAGCATTTTTTTGTTTTTGATATTTTATATTGTATCGAATAAAATACTTATTGTATTGCGTTTATAGATTAGTAAATAAAATAAGTTTTCTTATGATTCCTTTACAAATATTATAATATATGAAATATGCATATATGCACTTGTAAAAATATGCATAAATGTACCAAAAATATGCATATATGCATCTAAAAAATGCAGTTTTTTTTTAAATAATAGTGTCTTTTTGAAAAAATTGCAGTGTTTTTGAAAAAAATGCGGTTTTTGAAAAAACTGCAGCTTTCTAAAAAAATGCATTTTTTTAAAAAAAATTATAGGTTTTTTAAAAAATTGTAGCTTTTTTTTTTTGAAAACTTTGCAGATTTTTTTAAAAAAAATGCTGTTTTTTTAAAAAGAAAAGCAATTTTATTTTTTATTTTGAAAAAATTGCAGTTTTTTGGAAGAAAATGTAGTTTTTTGAGAAAAAATGCAGTTTTTTTTGAAAAAAATTACAGTTTTTTAATATATATATATATATATATAGATATATATATATATAGATATTATATAGATAATATATATATTAAATTTATGTTAATTTTTAAAACTTTTTATTAATGTTTCCAATAACACAAAAAATTAAACATTAAATGAGATTGGTATGATTACGATCATGCCCTTATTGAATTAGTTTTGATCTAACGCTCCACTTTAGTTTTTGGGAAACTACTAGTTCTCAACCGATCTAACCCATATTATATATATATATATATATATATATATATATATATATATATATATATATATATATAGATCTTAAAAGTTTAATACTATATGTATGACATTAGTCAGTTGAATCAATAGTAGGCCTGATTCACGAATCCGTACTCTAAAGGGGGAGGGAGGGATAAGGAAACAGCCTATAAAATGATCGTCATTGGGTGTCCACTCTCACCTACCGCTCCCTTGTACGGTGGAGGATCGTTAGCCGAACGGGTTAGACCTTTGGGCGAGGCCCGTTCGATTATGTAGATTGGTGAGACCTGTGGGGGAGACCCGTTTCATTATGATAGTACGGGTGAAACCTGATAGAAATTGGTCTGGTTAAGGTGTTGGATCACGTTTAGACTATGATGACTCTGTGATCAATGGACCGAATCTGTGTGTGTTGGATTAGGTGTCTAAGCCCTTAACTATAATTTGTATGTACTTGAATTGATAGCAGCACAGTCCTTTTGGGTTGCCCTCAACCTAGCAACTGGACAAGGAAATTATGAAAGGAGAGATATTAATTTATAAGATTAATAAATAATATATATATATATATATATATATATAATATAATATATATATATATATATAAATGATTTATTAATATGTTAATGGATTAATATATTAATTAGAAATGATTATGTTTAATTAATTGTTAGCCAGAAATTAATTAGAATTGATTTTGGGGTTAAAAGAATTAATTAATTAAGGTGCAAGGTGCAGGGACTAGTTTGCAATTATCTAATAGTTGAGTGGAAGGCTCTAGAACCCCCTTGGAAGAGGGTGGACGAAATCTTTAGGGGAAACCCTAATAATTTCGTTCATAGGGGCTTGGATAAGGCCCTTGGGTTTGCTTAGGCCCTAAGCAAAGGATAACTAGGGTTTCCCTTAAACCCTAGATCCCTCAGCTATATAAGGAGCCTCCTGGTTCATGTTTTTGGTGACTCTTTCTTTTGAAGAAACCTTAAGGCCGAGATTTTGCATACTCCCTCTCCCCTCTCTCTTCTACTTTCCTTCTTGCTAGTTTGGGTGTGATTCCATTAGAGGCATTACACTTGTGGTGCTAAAGCTTCCAAGAAGATCAAGATCAAGACCAAGGGAATATCAATTGTTTGCTATAACAATTGAAAGGTATGTAAACCCTAAACCCTAGTTTGTTAATTTCGAAATTAGCCTCTCTCCTCTAGGGTTCTTGTTTTGCAATTCAAAGTTGTATGTTCAATAGTTAAAACATAGATCCAAAGTAGGTTGCATGTGAACTTAGGAATTGTTTTCTAGTTTATTTGTTGTACCTAAAACCCATCAGTGGTATCAGAGCCATTGTTGTTTTAAATTGAATTGCTACAATTGTTGAATTGCAAATTAGGGTTTATAGCTATTAAACCCTAAAGGCCAATTTTTCGATTTATAGGGTTTTGGATCAAAGGGTTTTTCGAAAACCCTAGCCTCCAAAGAACCCTAATCGAAATTAGGGTTAGGGTTTTGAAAAACCCTAGCCTCCTCCCTTATGAATTTCGAAATATGCTAAGAGGATAACTAGGGTTTCTTGTTTTGGATAATTGTTACTTAATTAGATTAATTGGATAATTATCCTTACCCTATTTTTCGAAATTAGAGGGATAAGGATTAGGATTAAATTAATTGATTAATTTAATTAGATAATCCTTATAAGATTTAATAATTTGATTAATAGTTAATTAAAAGATAAATATTAAATCTAGTTAATTGGTTTATTTAAATTTAAATTTAATAGCTTAAATTTCGAAATTTATAAACCCTTGAAGTTTTAAAAGGTTTTAAAACACACCTTATATATATTATAATTAAAGGTTTAATATTATATGTATAAGAATATGGTCAGTCAAATCGCTAGTATGCCTCATTCACGAAGCTAATCTATAAGGGGGGTATAAGGAAACTGCCTATAAAATGGTAGTTGAATGGGTGTCCACTCTCACCCACCGCTTCCTTGATTAGTGGAGGGTCGTTAGCAGAACGGATTTGATAGGACAACTACTTCTCATTAAAAGTATAATGATATTAAAAGTACTAGAACATTATTTTCAAAAATCCCAACTCTAGTTACTTTAGGAAAAATGTGAAAAGTATGCTGATCCATGAAATTGCACATTATGCTTTATTGGTCGTTAGTGGAGCGTGTGTGGTTAACCAGCACACTAAAAGGCACTAATAAAGAGTAGTAATGGGTATCTCATAATTGTCATTTTGATAGAGCGTGTGTGGTTTACCAGTACATCAATAGTTAATGATAAAGACAATGAGGTTACCAAGCACATTTGCATGGTTATTCACATCTTGTTTGTGATCCTCGGCATCCCAGTCACAAATAGAAGAGCATAATCTGAGATCAAAACATGCCATCGAATAGTTTCAATGTATCTCAAAAGAATTAGGAATTTCACTTCGTTTGTTTCGTCTAATGGTGGAATTGGTGAATCGTCATTCACCTACCTTTATGAAATTTGCACTTGGATCTCGGCATCCCATTTCTGAGTTGTGAATCTTCATAGTTGGATCCTAACCTTGATATTATATCTTTGGGTTATTTATAAGGTATCTTGAAATCTAACTAAAATTTTTCTTTCTCTCAGATGTCTACTCCTGGAAACACTTCTGCTTCGTCCTCCTCCAACCAAAACTTCTCTTTGCTCAATATTTGCTCCAAAGTCGTTATGGATGGCTCAAACTATAACGATTGGATGCGCAACATCAAGATGGCTCTTCGTTTCGAGAACAAAGAATATGTTCTTGAAAAGGAGCTCAAAGAGCTTGATGAGAATGAAGCTACTCCTGAAGATCTTGCTGCCTACAAGAAACATTACGATGATGCTACCAAAGTGGCATGCATCATGGTGGCAACTATGTCCCCAGAACTGCAGAGGTACTATGAGGACTACTGGCCTTTCGAGATGAACAAGGACCTTATGGAAAAGTACCATAAGCGAGCTCGTCAAGAAAAGTTCGAAGTAGTCAAGTCACTCATGGCTTGCAAGATGAAAGATGGGGAGTCGGTTGTGTCACATGTGCAAAGAATGCAACGCTACATAGAGCGTTTGGTCAAGCTCAATATTCACTTTGATGAGGAATTGGCCATTGACATGGTCTTGAACTCACTTCCTGAATGTTATGGTCAGTTTATTCTAACTTACCATTTGAACAATACTGAGCAGACCTTGGCCCAATTGCACAACTTGTTGCAGACAGCTGAGGCAGGGATGAAGGGTAAAAGTATACCCTCCACACCTACGAGTGCCCCTGTTTTGGCTATTGGACAGGGAAAGGGGAAAAAGAGGAAAGGTCCTCCCAAGCAAAACTGGAAGAGCAAGGCTCAAGCTGGGTCATCTAGTAATGGCCCAAAGGCTAAGCCCAATGGTTCCACTCCCCATGTTTCTGATCCAAAAGAGGCAGTTTGCTTTTACTGCAACCAAAAGGGGCATTGGAAGAGATCTTGCCCACAGTATCTGCAAGATATCAAGGATGGCAAAGTGAAGCCATCTTCGGCAGGTATTTACACTATTTCTGCTAATAACTCATTATCTTCTCGTTCATGGGTCCTTGATACAGGATGTGGTTTTCATATCTGTTCTGATTTGCAGGGTCTAAAGGAAAGTGAGGAGATAGAGCGAGGAAGGATAAACCTGATCATGGGAAACAGAAAGTCTTCACCAGTAACCAAGATCGGAGTTTATCAGCTTCTGCTTAGTAATGATGTTAGATTAGATTTAATAAATTGTTGCTATTCGTCTGAGATGACGAGAAACATTATTTCATTTCATGCATTGTTCAGACAAGGTTTTACATATTCTTTTAATGATTTGAATGGTTCAATTTCTGTTTATAAGAATGGTGTTTTTATGTTTGAAGCTTTGCTTGTAATGGTGTGTATGAAACAGTGACTTGTGTTGATAGCCTAGGAAATAGTGTACTTAATATTGACTTGTCTAATAGTGTAGACAAGGCATGCTTGTGGCATTGTCGTCTTGGACACATTAACAAGAAACGCATAGCCCAACTCCAAAAGGATGGAGTGTTGGAATCATTTGACCTAAAGTCAGATGATATGTGTGAATCTTGTCTTTTGGGAAAGATGACAAAATCACCATTCACAGGGTCTTGTGAAAGAGGTGAAGGTCTGTTGGATCTCATACACACGGATGTGTGTGGGCCCTTCAGATCAACTACAAGAGATGCTAATCGATTCTATGTGACTTTCACTGACGATTATAGCAGATATGGAT